GGGGGGGGAATATTGTAAGGAGAAATTAAATGCGATTGGATCTCAGGGATCAAACGGTCAATTAATGACATGCAAGAACATGAAAGTAGCAATAATATCTCAAGAAAGATTGTTTCCTTATTTGTTAGTCCTCATACCTTTCCACTCATGGATTTGATAGTCACATCCTGCAGGCTTTTAATTCTTACACTGCCAGCTGCAGATTTAAAGTTCATGCCATTTGGAGCATCCATGTGCAAGGATCTGGTCAAGGAAGCCAATCGTAGGTCCTTCTTGGGAGGGGCCCTCAGACTCTCAGTTTCAACTGAACCACTGAAATGAGCTCCATTTGGACCTACAGAAATAAAACATTATGTCATAGAATTGAACATGCCCGCTTCTTTTCATAATTTTCTGGGAGGAGCAATGTGCGCAGAAGTGATGCACTCATCTGCCACCCCTGTGGCCCATGTCCCATTCCTATACCTAGCAACACATTTAGGTTAAGTTTGTTGTTGGTGCACGTTTTTACTTCTAGGGTTTTTTCCCACTTTGGTTTTCCTCCCTCCACAACACTCAACCATCCAAAAACCAATTTCAAGCTGGAAACAATGGACAAAGAGCCAGTCCCTGGAAGCACCTCTGGGAAAATTCCAAATGATTTATCACTGATTTCTTATCTAATTTAAAAGGTTATCTTCAAAACGATTTGTTACAGGTCAAGAAACCTGGGCTAATATACAAAGAAGAGGCTGTATTACTGCAACAGAAGGAGGTGAAAGAACAAACCTAAGTACCATTTCAACCAAGTAATAACTACCACAGACAAACAACAATTAAGGGGTTGACTTATACTTACTCAAAAACTCCAACTTATCAGCCTTAAAGACAATTTTATCTTTGTCTGCATAGAGTATATCTTTTCCTCGTTCTGTCTTGATGGAGAACTTCTGGTTACGAGCCACTACTTCATCATTTCCTATGAAAAGTTGACCTGTAATATTTCCATCTGGGTCACGGGCATTTACAGTTACATTTGCCGTGGACTGAAGAGTAAGTTCAGAGTTCTGAAAAAAAAAAGAGTTAAAATCAGGTAAATATCAGTAACTCACATACAATGGCCATGTGGCTGATGGAAAAAACAACTTACGTGTCTTGGTCTTATCATGTTTGCACGTAACTCTTTGACAAATTCTGCTTCCCCATAGAGTTTCAACCCTTGATCAGTTATCCTCAGTTTTCCCATACCATCCTAAAAAAAAAAAAGAAAAAAAGAGAAATTTTTCACAATTAATTTAGCTCTAAAACACAATTCCTACATGGAGGTTTCCTGAATTAAACTATGAGGAAATATTTTCAAACATTTGGTTTTTATCAACTGAGTCAATAATGTAAATTGGCCACTGTAAAGGATGAAAGAGCTGATGTTTCAAGCATTAGCCCTTCTTCAGCATGAATGATAAAGGATTAACACTTGAAACATCAGTTCTTAAATCCTTTCCGGTGGCCAATTTACATTTATCAACTCAGTCGATACAACCAAATCGCCTAACTACCCCCAACAACAGGGCACCACATTTTCTTTAGAAACTTACCCCCTTGACTCATTTTCAAACATTGTTAAAGTACAGCTGGAGAAAAGGCATGAGAGCCATGTAAGCAATCTAGTTACCAGTAAGAAATGTTTAAGCAACCGTTGTCCACAGTTCTTTATGCACTGCTTTAATTAAAACAAGGATGTATTGCCCAGAACAACATGGGGCAGTGGTAAACTTAGACTTCTATCTTTAAAGTTAGAATGTACAAAAAAGGCCTTATTTTATTATGTGTAATTTTTAATCAGATTTAGTTTTTAAAATTTTTATGCTTTTTCTTGTAATTTAATTTTTAAGTCCTTTATATAAGATTTTAGGGTGAATTTTAATTAAACTTATTTATCGCTATTATTTCTATTCAGTTTAGTTTATCGTATATGTCGGGCCTCTGTAGATAGCAATTTTTTTTTATCTTGTACAAAAACTGAAGGAGTCACCCTATTGAAATAAATCTTTCTATAAAAGAAAAAACTGAAATATTTACCAGGTTGAAATCCATAACTCTCATGACCCAGATGACAAGAGAAAGGTTCACGATGGTAATCACCATCAACACCAGAATAAGAAAATAGATGAAGCGCTTTCTCCAGCCATAGATCCCAATCATGTAAACAACTGATGCTGGGTCCTGGTTGTTCCAGTCAACCTCTTCTGTCTCCCGTGTCGGCATTCTGATCAACCTTGTACTTTTGCAACCTATTAAGAATTCAGCAAAAAGGAGTTGAATCTGTCTGTACCTCTATATACATACCCAGCTCAAATTGAAACAATATGAAAAAAAAAAAAAAATTTTTGCCCACTTCTGAAGAGGGCAAATATACATGGCCTCTATATAAAAGGCTCTTTTCAATATATCTACCATCCATCTGCAAAGACTAATTACTAATCAAAACAATTCCTTTAACCATCATCTTGGAAACCTAATATTTTAAGAATGTGAACAAAATAAAAAAACACTTATGTGACAGTCTGCAATTATCACCTCTTTCTTTCTATTTATGAGCTAGGAGATAATATTTCCTGTAGTAAACACCCATTTCTCCATTTTGATGCACATTGTATTCGGCTATGCATATAGTGAGAGTTGATTCTTCCCTGTTATAAATTCCCTTAGGCTACTGATTTTCAAGAAATAACCAGCATTTTTAACAGTATGAAATTAGAAACGATACCCCATGCAGGGGGTCTACAATCATCAAAGCTACAACTGCAACACCACAAAATTTGTAAGAAGAACTTGAGTGTTGTGAGAGGAATCTCAAATATAGATTTAAAATGTCCTTGAAAATGACTTGCGATACGTGTTTACATAGATTTAAAGTAATTATTGGGATAATATACTCCGTTATCTTTGAAATCATGAAGAAATATTCAACAAGAAATTTTAGCGTACCTCTGGCAAGGAATTCAGAAATCTATCCGATGACAGTACGGCAGACAGGAGAGATAATGATATCTTTGAGCTTTTAAGCGACTTAACGTGGGGCTTGGGCGTAAACGATATGCAGATATGAACAAATGCAAGCCACCCATTTCTGTAACGTTCAACCTAATATCCGACGAAAGTAATTCTCTAATTCCAAACAATCAGTCACGGAAAATAATTGATACCGTAAACGGTAATTAGTTCTTTCTCGAGCTCTAGGATACATCAACGCTTGAGAACATTTAATTTTGATTTTGCTATTGCGGTTACCGTGGGCAGAGGTTTCCAAACACACGGTACATAATTTTCGAATTTGCCACATTCGCGTTCGAAGATAAACTCTGGGATACGCACCTACACTAACTATGTAACGACAGATTATCTTTAGGAAATGTCGAGTTGTTTTGGTTTTAAATACGTTTCAGAAGTCCAAATAAATATTTAAAAAGTAGTAAACTACACAAATGTTCTCTGCTTCTGCAAGAAAGATGACAAAAAAATTCATTCAAGCGATTCAAAACTCCCATCTTCGAGAAGAGAAGCAGTAACTTAGAAAACATTAAAAGCTGCGCTCTCTCTCTCTCTCTTGTCACTAACTCACAAAATCGACATAACATAACGCTAAATCTATATTTTGCTTACCTAACCGACACTTGTCACGTCAAGAGCTCTTAATGTGAACGTTGAAAACAGAAGTCAGCGATAGACTACGGACGTACCGTACAAACTGTAAACAATCGATAGGGAACGACCGACGCGTGAAGAATGTTTTTTGTGGTTTGCGAGGCTACCAAGCTGAGTGAAATTTGGCGCCCTTTGGAATGGATCACGAGGAGGAAGGGGTTCAACTAGCAATTCTACTTTGACTCATAATAAGATACATGAAGAAATGTATCCCATCAGAATGACTGAGAAAAGAACAGTCTATAAAAAAGGGTTATACAGAGTAGAAAATAGATGACTCAGTGCAAAAAACAAAGAAGAGCTAGAAAATTTTTCTTTCACTGGACACCGTTGTTTTAACCTAACGTTTGGGCATGAATGAATTATTTTTGTACGTGACTCACGCGCTTTAGGTTTGCATGAATACGACGAACTATCTCAAATATAATTCCCATGTGTTTCATTTATGAGTAATCACATGATTTTCCCTGTGCAATTTGGAAAAAGTACAACTGCTTTTCTCTTTTTTTCCAAGCGCTTCAAATCGCACTTTCCCTAAGGCCTATGGGTTTGTGCTAAAAACTTACTTGTATTTCGTCACTCGAAATCATGTGATTATCTCAGTGTAAAGGTAAAGTCTGTTTACGAGCCAAGTGGCCCATCAGGCTGGTGCTGATCTCCGGTTTCCGTTGCAAGTTGGAGTATTTCCACTCCCCCCTGGATGGGATGCCAGTCCATCGCAGGGTTACCCCCCAGCATTAAATTCGCCGAACGCACATATCCACTTAAACACCTGGGTGAAGAGAGGCACTGTGAGAGTAAAGCACTCATGAGCTATGAGGCCACCGCGCCTCTCTTACCGTACAAAGACTTAAAAAAAAAAGGATTATCACGAAGCTATATAGCTTCACCTTGGATCAGCTAGGGTCGAAAGTAAAAAAAAGGAATTGGTAGCTTTCATTCGTCCTATCTCTATCAAGTTAATTATTACACTTCTTGGAAATTAATCATAATTTATTTATCATTATTTAGAGTCTTATCAGGGACAGCCATTTTTTATAGTGAGAGCGGAATCAGAAACGAGTATAGTAAATCCACTGTAAAAATGATGTTTTTACAAGACCGTGAGAAATAATAAAGAGGCAGCTTATTACACAAGGAATAAATCATTGCCAGGAGATGACACTTCGTCACCCTGCCCTGTAGATGGATAAATTTCATCCTGTCATCTTTTGCTGAAGCATAATAATGTATGAATATTAACTTGCATTAATGTCTTATAAATTTCCTGGAGTTTTCAGTACAAGGGACAAGTTTCTTTGTAAATCATAAGACTAGCGTGAAATCTTTTCTATTTTGTCTGCATTCCTTACTTTCACGTTGCCAAGCAATTTAACCAGAGCAAATATTCTTCAATCTCATGATATCCATGGACTCCATTTTGAGAGAGCACGCCGGATTCCGGGATAAAGTAAAGAGATCTGGGTAGAACCTTGTCAACTCATAAGACAGCATTGTTGACTTCAATGCCGTCGGAAAAGGAACTACTGGAAATGGAACGACACGTTGCAACGGCAGACTATAGCTATAGCAAGTACGGCTCATTGCAATGAAGCGTTTCTGGTAGAATGATCTCACGCTGAAATCCTCAGAACTGGCGAGTAAGTATGATCAAAATCGACTGAATATTTTAGCGCAAAATAGCTACCTTCGCGGCTTCGCCTTTCATTTGATAATGACCCGTTCCCACTTTTTAAAGTTGCCACTTAAAAGTTGCAATTAGATTCATGAGAAGTTTGTACTTTTAATAAGAAGCGTTCTGTTTTTCTTCTGCTCCTGTTTAATTATTCAAGGAAAGTTAAATATACCTCAGATAAGGACCGCAAACTGTAAGAGAAGTTGAAACGAAATGATTATCACGAATTTTGACTAATACAATGTTAGAATTGCCTCAAAAACTCAAAGCGATCTTTTATCCCAAGAATAAAGAGCACCTTGTTCAAGGCTTTAACCGAACTCTAGCGAGCAGAGATCGAGAGGAGCTAGAACATCTATTCCTAGATTAAGCCATGCAAGATTATATGACGGTTCACTGAATTCTGTTGCGTATGACGCTCCAAGACCTCTTAACCTCCGAAAATTAGCAAGGTATTGTTCAACCTCGAAATTTTCCCTTTCCCTTTAGCAGATGACGGAAAAGAAAAAAATGTAAACACGGGTAGATCAGTGTCGCTTTCACACCATCAAGCATTTTGGGGGTTTTCAATTAATGCAGTTGATCAATAACTCTATCGCTAGCCTGTTTGTAGGCCGATATCTGTGACATAATTTCACTTTTGTGGATTAAAGGTAACTAAGGTATTTTCTATAGTGAACCTTTCTACGCAGTGAAGAAAATTTCGCTGATCAATTTGAATCAATTGTCGCAGTAGACGTTTCCGAAATTTTTTTAACCTGAGGGTCTTAGATTTCCATATCACAAAAATTTTTTAAGTTTAATCAAGTTTTATTTTCCACGCACTATACTTATGTGCAGCAAGAATATAACGAATCTTTATATGAATATTTGATTATTCATTAAGAGAAAGGCCAATATATATTTTAAAGCCCTCCCGCTTGTGACTTTTGTTTGAATGCACGTAATTCTTTGTTCTCGACGTTGTTATCTTTCCATCCTACGCACAAAGCTGTCTTTCAACACTGTTCCGACTTTTCCTTCATTCAAATTAATGCAAGAATCGTGATAGTCTCCCTCGCAGCCGTTTTTTTGGATGTCACGCAACGCTCCCCCAAAATGTCCGTTGCGTGACATCCAAAAAAAACGGCTGCGAGGGAGACTAGAATCGTGACGGCAGCAAACAGAGAAACGGAACCGGAAATGCATCGCATCAGAGGGAATTGTTAGATTCCCTGTCCTTTAACCCTTTAACCCCTAAGAGTGACCAGCATCTAATTTCTCCTTACAATATCACCCCTGAATCACACATTGAGGTCAGGAGAATTAAGGAAATGATCACCGACTGAAGAACCTTTGATTGTTAAAACGAATTCTCCTTGTCAATACCAAAGGAAATGTAGAGAGAACGGTGTGGAGAATATGTATGTTAATGATAGGGTGAAAAGCGTTCAGGTAGGAAAGGACAGATATGCTTTTTGGGTGGTGCTTCGATCTAAGGTGGTGGTGTTTGTTTAGGCCGGTATCTGGTGCGCGTTTACCTGAAGCTACTTCCTTAGGATAGAAACGTTCAATCGCTGCTCAATGAAAAACAAGGAAAAGCCCGAATTAGCTTTCGAATTAAGTGGTTTGGCGTGTGAGCTACTACTGGGGACATACGACACATGTTCAGTCTGTATAAACGCGGAAAAACATGTTCAACGCGTAAAAACTCTTTTAAAATTGCTTGAAGAGCACATAGCATAGGTCATTCTACTTGTCTATCAATTTGGCCACATTGGATTTGAAAGTACTATGGAACATACGTCGGATTTTCGTCCACTAACAAAACATTTTGTGAGAAATCCAACTCTAATGAATCTTTTTTTATCTCCTTCCAAACCTCATCGCGATGACACAGAGACTGAATCATGGGAATCATTGTTTCGAGAAAGAAGAAAAGTGCTCCAGTATTGACGCAGTCCTCATCCATCACCCATTCGCCTCCACCGGACCATTTTTCAGACAACGAAGATCGCAGGCAGCATCTGTGTGACGTCATTGAGTTCGATAGCGATGATGAAAACGAATCGGATTCCGAGAAAGAGTTGGAAACGAACGAGAGCCAAAATGACTTGGACACCCAAAGAGATGATAAGAGCTCTGGTAAAAGTGAAGTCGGCGACCATTCCTCCAGTCATTCCTCGGGGTCAGCGGCTTCCGTAAGCTCCAAAGAGACTGACAAAGATGATCCAGGGGCATGCGCAGTGGGAAAAAATGACAAAGATTCATCGATTAAAGCATCGGAAGTTGAAGAGTTTACCATTATCTGGGAGAAAGCTCTTCTGGACGACTTAGTTATTAAAATATCTGACGATGTAAGGGTTGTCAGGATATTTACGAGTTCAACATTCACAGGTATTGATCAGGAGTGTTCCCTTAAATATTTCATTACTTCACCGGGGGCATGAACAATTACAACCTCATTCTCATGTTCCTGAGAACGAGGTTCAAAGAATTGCAATTCAAAGCAGAACTCAGCAAGCCTCAATTCCGACTGCAACTGGATTCATGATATCGCATCTATAATTATACCTTTTTACTGCTCCTAGATACTTTTGTGGAGCGTAACGCATTAATGGAGCGAGTGTACCCGCGACTGAAGTCCTACTGTCAGGAGAGAGGATATGACTTTCAAGTGGTGGACATGAGGTGGGGAGTCCGGGACGAGTCCACGGATGATCACATGACCACTGAGCTATGCATGAGAGAGTTGCGCGCGTGTCAGAAGCTGTCGACGGGACCTAATTTCATAGTAAGTTGGATTAAACTGTCAAACATAGTATTTCTCTGAAGTTACGTAAATTGATTCGTATAATTTTACTTTCAGACTTTTTTGGGCCAAAAATATGGTTATCGTCCTTTTCCAGTAAATATTTCTGCCCGTGAGTTTGAGCAGCTCCTAGACGCCGTTGAAAACCAAGACGATGTTGCCCTACTGAAACACTGGTTTTGGCGAGACGACAACTCAGTTCCCGCCCAATATATGCTACAGCCAATCACGTCATTGCTACCTCACTACAGGGACTACGCAAATGAAGATTTACGTAAGAAGGCGTCTGCCGAATGGTGGACGGCATTTGAGAGAATGCAAGTTATTTTGAGGGCAGCCGCTAACATCTCTCTTGAGGAGGCTGAGCGGCACAAATATCATATGTCAGGTATTGTGCGAGCTTCCTTGGAGCATTTATTATGTCTAGCTGATATGGTATGCTTTTTTGTCACATAATCACGCGAGTGCCCAAGCAAAGGGCGTTCGTTAAAATAGGGTTACGTTTCACGAATCTTGTACCCCCTCCTTTGCAGCACAAATCAAGTAGAAGTAAGAGGGAGGTATTGTCACTCCCTCTAGACGGATACCATTCCATCTGTCGTCCCTTCCTAAACGCGTTTGTCTGACAGTTTTTTATTACCAATTTAAACTCCTGGATGGGTAAATATCCTAGGAGATAAACGTTTGTTGCTGTAGAACCCTACACAACCTTCCCCCCCTCCCCCTTCGTTCCAAAGCTCTCCTTTCAGAGTGCAGCGCGCGCTATAGCTGTACTACCGCCTCTTCTAGCTAGTAGCAAGGGTTGCTCCGTAAAAATGCCACCTTTCGAACAATCAGGGAATTATTGCTGTAATATGAACTTTATCGTTATTAACCTAATCCCTGTAGTGACTGAAGACGAGATTCGCCGAGGGATATTAACAGCTACAGAACCAGAGAAACATTGTTTCTGGTTCAAAAGAGTCATCACCGATCTGCTCCAGAATGCACACGATCCTCATTCTGGCAAGTTTGTGGATAAGCCTTACGGAGCCGACAACTCCACTATTGACGAGTCTGCGCAAACGCTGTTAGATAGTTTGAGAGAAAAAGATCTTTCAGCAGACTTGCCAACAAGAAACATAATTCAGTACGATGTCAAATGGACCAGTGAAGGCATCAGCCCAGACGCGTCTACAGACCATGCGCAATATATTGAAACGCTTTGCGCCGACGTTTACAATGTTTTGACCGAAATGATTCAGGAAGGTATCGATGAGAAAGAAGGCGACGAAAGGGAAGACTCACTAAATAAAGAGATATTACAGCATGCGCTATTCTGCCAAAAGAAAGGCCTCGCTTGCCAAGGACGAGACGATTTTCTTCAGTCTGTGAAGTATTCTCTACTCGAGCGCAACGAAAAACGTACAGTTATTCTCCATGGAGAGTCAGGTTGTGGTAAGACGTCAGTTATGGCTAAAATAGCTGTGGAGGTCAAAAACTGGCTGGAAGACGACTCTGCGATCGTGGTGCTAAGATTTATTGGAACTTCTCCGGAATCATCCGACATCAGACTGCTACTAAGCAGCGTCTGTCGACAGTTATACAAGATCACAGATAATGATTCAACACAAATACCCGAGGTTAGTTAGTACTCTATTGCATTGACCTAAAACCATTATATAGGCTTAGTCATATAGACTCCAGCCTTTTGGGTGCTTTGGGTGCTCTGGGTGCTTTGCTTAATTTCTTCCATCTGATTTTTCAAGAATTCGAGAGAAAATGAATAAATGCCAAAAGAGTACCTTACGTTTCATGATTATAAAATCGCAGAAGGGAGCCTTAGTGTTTTTTATTGTTTTTGGTCTGTGAAAAGTCTGGCACGAGAAATTTCGTACAATAACCGCCGCGGGCCCCTTACGTACTCAAATTTCTCACCGAGTAAAAACGTACGCGCTCCGCTGCTGGTGTCGTGGGCGTCACAGCCTACACCGATGGAACCAAGTTCCTTTCCTTAGTTCTCCGTAGTTTTTTCCCTCCTCTCGTTGCTCTCCCGCTAACCTGGCTCTATGGCCCGTCCCAACAAAGTGAGCACCTGGAGCAGGCTATTCCAACTCCTTACGTGGCCTCGATACGCATTTCATTGACGACACAAATCATTCGTGATTGCTCTAAATTTAACCTGAGTATTGAAAACCATCACAGAACTTGCTCTTACTGTACGCTCTTTACCAACGTAATTGCAGGACCTTATGGAATTGCTGGAGTTCTTTCCAATGTGTTTAGAAGAAGCTTGTGCAATACGTCCTGTGGTGTTGATTCTCGATTCCCTGGACCAACTATCCGCTGGGGAAGGAGGAAGACGTTTGGATTGGTTACCCGGAAAAATTCCCGATGACTGTTACTTGATAATGTCCACCTTACCTGATTCGGAATACGAGTGTCTACCGCATTTGAAGGTAGAGAAGAGCTGTTCTCGTCTTTAAAAGTTGTCGATGGTAAATACCAGAGGAACACGGACAAACCCTTAAATGATCAATCAATCAATCAAGTTTATTGTCTTTACGTAAGGCATGGTTACCCAGTTGCCCGAGCCAGAGGCTCATGTATGAAACGTAAGACACACCCATACATCCCACCCCAGGGGAGGACATCCACCACACAGTTATCTCGCGCGTGGGAAATTAACGTCCTTATCCGAGAAGACTAGAATATCTATCCATTTCTTGATATCATAGAAAAGTAGCAAATTCTCCTCAGTTATTTTAAGACCATGAGTATTGGTCCGGCCGGGGCTCGAACCCTCGACCTCCCGCACAACACAATCCGGTGCTCTAACCAATTGAGCTAACCGGGGGACGGTCATTATCACTTCTAATAACATTCCGCCTATTTTCGATGTATTTTGACCCCTAAATCTTAGACTGGCATCAAATGAAATTAAACTGAGTCGTTTCCCAAACGAGATTAACTCTTAAAATAATTATAAGACACATCTCCTGTATATTATGTAAAGAGTAAGGGTGATATTTTCTCTTGTAGCTACGCAGACAACAAAGACATTTATTTATCACTTTCACGGGTTTATTACGAATCAACTTAACGGCCTGCTCCCAGTTGGCTTGTTAGCTCAATTGGTAGAGCGCTCCACTAGTATCGCAGAGGTCAGTGGTTCGAATCCCGTACACGCCTGATTTTTTTCAGGTCTGATTTTCGCTATTGCTTAAATAGCGCTATCTACTGCGAGGATCGTGCATCATATGTAAAGACATTTATGTTTTAGTCTAGTTTTTAGGCTCTTAAAGAAAACTCTTTTTTTGACAGAACTTTTTTCCAGAACGATGTTTTAAAGAGATACCCATCATCCCCCTGAATGAAGCAGATGACATTTTGGAGAGTTGGCTGAGGTCCAGTAAACGCACGTTGACACCTACGCAGAAGGAAGTGGTCTTAAACGCCTTCGAGTAATGTCCATTGCCCTTGTATTTAATGCTGTCTTTTGATCAAGCTATCCGCTGGAAATCTTATACACCGGAGGATGATGCAACATTAGCCTCTGGCGTGAAAAACGTCATTAACGACTTTTTAGAACAGGTTGAGCGTCGTCATGGAAAAATCCTCGTCAGCCACGCTTTAGCTTACATCACTGCCTCGAAAAACGGCCTTACTGAGCCAGAGTTAGAAGATATTTTGTCACTGGATGACGAAGTCCTCGATGATGTCTATCAGTACTGGACGCCCCCATTTCGCAGACTTCCTCCCCTATTGTGGAGTCGTATACGTTCCGACATTGAAGACTACCTCATAGAAAGAGGAGCAGATGATTCCCGAGTGATGTACTGGTACCATCGCCAGTTTACCGAACTGGCAACTGATCGGTACTTGGGTTCACGGCCAGCAGATATTCATTCAAAACTGGCAGACTACTTTCTAGGAAAGTGGTCAAACGGTGCTGAGAAACCTTACGTTGACAAAGATGGAAACAAAGTACTCAAGGATAGGTTGGTGGCCGGACAACCATTGACGTTCAGCAACGAGAAAGAAAAGAGGGCAGTTTTTAACCTGCGAAAATTGAATGAATTGCCATATCATCTTTTACACGCAGGCAATCTTGAGAATCTTAAGATAAACGCACTATGCAAGTTCGAGTTCCTTTTAGCTAAGCTTCGCGCAACTTCTTTAGAATCAATTCTGGACGACTTTACTGCCTCGCTTTTTCTGTATCCAGATGATGAAGACCTGGTCGTTTTGGAGAAAACCTTCCAGCTGTCATCCGCGGCTCTCAAAGCCGATGCTAATCAGCTGGCGCCTCAACTTCTTGGAAGACTGAGTCCACAACAAAACCGTGACCAAGCCGAACTCACTGGTATTCGCCTTCTCCTACAACAGGCGTATTCCTCATCTGTCCCTTGTCTGATTCCAAGTGACAAATGTTTGACATCTCCAGGCGGACCACTCATTTCTTCTATGAAAATACCTGGCGAATCTGTCTTCAAATGTTGTGGTTTTAGTTGTGATGGGAAAACAGCTTACATTACGTCTTCTATTTCTCAACCACTTCATATCCAGATATTGAGCATAAATTTATCAAATGGGAAAACACTTAGGAGGGTGACTCTTCCAGGATCGCTGGAAGTAGGAGTTGTGTGGTTAGTCCAGGGAAGCAGTCTCAATGAAGATCTCCTCCTGTTGGCAGGTTCCACCGATATTTTTCTCTTAAAGCCATCAACGGGACAAGTGCTACAGAAACTCGCAGCTCTCGTCGAGGAAAGCATGTACAATCCAATACCCCCTGTTTCGTTTGTGGATAACGAAACTAGTGTCATTGCCATAACAGACAAAGACATCAAGATATGGACAGCTGAAGATGGCAAAGTAGCACATAAGATTGATGTTGGCAAGATTCCCACCGATGAAGAGTACGGCACTATTGAAGCATCAGGCTGTCACGCGGTCTTCAGCCTCCACGGTTCTAAAAGTTTCACAGTGCTCAATTGTAGAACAGGAGAGATGGTTCGCGAAGTTGACGTCTTCAGCGAGGCAGATGCATGCTTTGTAGGGGAAATCAAAGTCACCTGCAAAGAGCAAGTGGTCGTGACATCCTCAAAGAAAAATGGCCTTCGATTGTATAACCTCCACACCGGAGATTTTATCAAAGAAATATCTCAGTTTAGAATCAACAAAGGACTGCTTCGAACCCAGATAACAGCCGACGGAACAAAGGCTGTGAGTGTAGCTGACTACGAGATTTTGGTGACAAATCTAGAGGATGGAACAGTTTGCAAAACTCTGAAGAGTAAATCATTCGGAACACTTATTATTCACGTTAATTTTTTCACGAACGATGGAAAAGTAGCTATATCCCTGGCCCAGGATGACGTAATCCGTATTTACGACCTAGAGCAAGCGATTACAGAGGGCACTGAAGACGTTTCCAGTCTGTCATCAGACAATAAGGCCGTATCTTCAATTGATTCCATCAACTATCTAAACAGGGGAACAGATGGAAGACATGTCATTGCGACAGCAACGGTTAACAACTCCAGCCAAATTGCTATTTGGGACGCATTGACTGGAGTTATGGTGCGAGCGTTGAAGATTTTCCAAGAATTGCCACCCACCTCGATAAGAATGTATGATACAAGTCGCGCAGTTGGCTACATCCACGATCAAGACTATCTTCATTTTAGAGTTTTTAATTTGAAAGAGGGGAAGGTTGAAAGATATCTGCGGGGTAGAGCCTCCAAAAGAACGGAAGCGTTTGGGTTCATTGATGAGAACCACATCATTACTTTCTCGCAAGGAAGACGTAACCTCAAAGTTTGGGACATCAACGATGGACAGCTCGCAAAGCAATTTAAGTTTGGACAAAAGCATCGATTCGAAGACATGCTTATCAGCAGAAACGGAAGGGCAGTCGTTTGCAGTCAAATGAGCCAAATTGTTAGCCACGAGGAGGATACCTTGTCTCTCATTGCTCTCAACACGCAGTCAGGGGAGCATAAGGTCTTGGAAATTGAGAACACTCAGCTGTTGCTTTGGAATGGGTGCGTAGCAGACGACGGTAGCTGCCTGGTTTGTCTTTCCAAAGAGTTCAAGGCATTGCTATGGGATTTGACGAATGGCAGTGTAAAGAGTAAACTAGTTGCAGATGAAGAAAATCCAACCGTAATCTGCACGGCCATCTCAACAGCAAGCAAAGTGGTCCTAACCGGTCAAGGTGATGGGGGGATCGCAGTCTGGGACATTGGAAGTGGGTGTGTCCGTTACACGATGGAATGTGGCACTGTCGATTCTCTTTTTGTCACACAAGATGGCAAAGTGGCATTTTCGAACTATCGGTACACAAACAACAACATCGATGCATGGGACCTACAGACAGGCTCAAAGCTCGCCACTTTCACTTCTGATTGGAAGCCGGAACGAATGACAATATCTGGAAGCCGGCTTGTGGTGGCTAAGGCAGACAAACCGGAACTGTTGATGTTGCGACCTCATATTCCTGGAAGTTCAGAAGATAGCAAGCCTGTTGATTCTCCGTTTGAGGACTGTCCGTTGGAAAGCGTCCTACAGGCTTGTCAAGGTTTGGTTCATGCCAAAGAAGAAGATGAAGATGAAGATGAAGATGACGATTCTGACAAGACTGATTTTCAAAAAACTGAGTTCACAAGAAAAGCGGTCCTTGCAAAACCCAACGTAATAATCGGTGGCGGAAGTTCGGTTTTTGCATCCAAATCTGTTGTCATTTCGGAACAAGTTTACCGAGACAACTTTATGTGAAACATCGCCGAAGTAGAAGTTAAGTTTGCTACATAATCGGTCATGGCACAAATTTTACGTACAAACCGGTGTTAGTTCTTGTTTTTAAATCGATATGGTCTTGTAAAGATTGCTCTGGTTGGATCGTTTAATAGTTAGGAAACTAATCTACATATCGTGCAATTTAACTGAAAGCCGTGAAAGGCCTGGGCACTAGAGCATACGGAAACCTTCAGATGGAAGCATACGAGGCTTACATTTTCCCAATTTTAAAAGAAATCATGAGGAAATAAATTCCCACAAATATTCCTAAGGGGATAATTATGAATGAACTGTTCAAAGGCGCTCAAACGCATCACTCAAAAACTAGGCCATTTTCGATATATTAAAATTCTAACATGGCGCCGAGGCTTGAGGGAATAAAATAAGTATTGGTAGTCGCATGGGGCCGAGTAAAATTAAGGATTAATATCACGCGTGTTTTCGGAAGTTGCTGAAATTGCCCGAGTCGCGCAGCGACTCGAGCAATTTCTGCAACTTTCGAAAACACAAGTGATATTAATCCTTAATCTTACGAGGAACCATGTGATTACTTGTTTATAATATAAGAGGCAAAAAGTTTTCTTACTGATCTCGCACAAAACGGGACGCCATTGTTACAAAACAAACAGAAATTTCTTTACCTTGGCAGCCGTTGCTAAGCGATTTTCAGCCAGTCATTTTCAAGTATTTTTGCCCGGGGCAATTACAAAAATTAAGAAAAAATGCTCTCTGTCTTGACCAATCACAATTCAGTAATTTTAGCCCTTTATACGATAAAAGAAATTAATTCTTCATCCCTCACCTCGATGTGATTTCTTTTGTTTCATTCCCCCAAGCATCGGAGCCAAATGTGAATTTTGATATATCGAAAATGGCCTATTCGCTGTTCTTTTCCTTTACTCGCACGGTCGAAGAGGGGTCATCAAAAAAAAAAAAAAACAGGTAACAGCATCTCAGTTTTGCCTGGGTTAATCTACTGTATTGAAAAATCAACCGACAAAAGAATATGGACCCTGCATTTTGTGGATTTACTAGGTTTTCGCTCTTAACGAACTTTCCAATAAAATTTGCTTCTGATGTAATTAAGGTTGCATTAAAAGATTAGAAAATAACGCCTTTTGTAGACTTTCATATTAACTCCTAGAAAGACTCATGCAACGAATAATCATGCTTCGATTCCTCCAACCTCTACTTCATGCTGTGAAGCTTGAAAAAAAGCGAGGTTTTGACTATTGTTCTCTTGCCGAGGTTGAAAGCAAGCTAGTATCGTCTCCGTCTCTGACACCTTCGTAGCTGAGATCTTACGACCTGTCCTTATAGTTGGTTGGTAAATATTTCTCAAAATTTGAACATTACTCAGGAACACGTAATCTGCAGCATACAAAGAAGAAGGATCTAACAAGTTCCGCTTTGAACAATCGCGCGCGTTTCTAGAAGCAGATACAATTTACCTTTGACGCCAATGTTAATAACTTTGATCCATCTCACTGAGCAAACAGAAAACATTGTCAACGGATTATGCTGACCTTGTGACCTCAACTAAAAAGCGCCGCTTCCCGAAATAACCTAAGTCATCTTTGCGAGATCAGAGTTCAGGCAAACTTGAGCTGTTTATACACCTAAGTCTGTTCTGTGGATTTTTTCAACTGTGCTTAGAGAAGTAACAGCTGTAAACATGATTTGTGTCGTGACGTAATGTACTCTTGCATCCCGGAGTCACTGAGGGTGATCTTAACATCTTGTCGTCATGGTGTCAAAAACAGATGACAGCTTTTCATTATTTATTCAGTCACATTCTAATAATTATCAAATTTGATTCGCGTTTCAAACTTAGGAACTTGGAGTTCCCGCTTGTGGGTTAGTTTGTAGTTGCTGAAATTTATCGGACTCAGAATAGATCATCGTTTTGTTCCACCGTACGGTAATACCGGAGAGAAGTCTCTTCCATTTTAACGAAAATGTCAATTTTCAAACTTGGAGATCTGTAGTACAGGTAAGCGTTTAAAACCCTCTCTAACCGACAACTCGCCGATTCATTTGATTCTTTGCTATGAATGAGCTTTAATTTTCAAGATTTGATTATCTAGCTGGACAAATCGTCCATGGGCGTGAAAAACGGCTGACACTCCTCGAAAACGGACATAATGTTGAACATCTCTGCTTGAGTAAAGCATAGAGTTGCAATTATCTAATTTGAGAGAATTCAAGAGATGGAAAATTGTTTTATCGATCGGGGTAATTTTGTGTCAATGTGCGTGTCATGGTCGTGTGTAACACAAGTTAAATAGAAGTCTCACAATAAATAATCTTTACTTGAACTTACAACGCCTGTGACCGCTACAAAATCTCAAAATTAAATCTACATATTCACCATGTGTTTGCAAAAGTAAAAGTTGCTCAGGTGAAAAATGCAAATGAGTTCCTTTTTATTTTTAGCTCGCAGCAAGTCACGCATTGTCTTATATTTGTCCAAAAGAAGAAAGAAAAGAAAAAAAAGGAAAACGCACCCATATTTTTGTCTCTTGCATTTAATTTGTCTCCGAATCTCTTTGATGAGATGTACTTCTTTTAGCAAAGCATGCCCTACATAAAATGTTGTAGTTGCGTTATTTTCTGTACTGTGCTGAGACTTATTTAGAAGCTGGTTCATAATCTCCAGCAAAAACTTGACAAATCTGTTAAAATATATCCCTTTTCCTGTTCAGTTAGAGGTTACCATACTGCCTGACAATGGGAAGTGCTGTTTCCTTGATACGAAAGAAGAAAGTGACACTTCAACACAATGAGGTATGTTCATTAGCCTACGTGTAGTCGTACTGTTAAGGAACCTAAATCTGAAAAACTACTACGCTTAACCGAAATAGTTCTAGTCACACTTAATTGTTTTTCATTCGGGGACAACTTTTTCAAACAAACCAATGGTGTAGCCATGGGCACCAAAATGGGACCTAGCTATGCCAATCTTTTTGTAGGTTTTGACGAACGCCAATTTTTCAGCCAATACAACGGCTCCAAACCTTAACTCTACGGTCGCTACATCGACGACTATATGGGCGCTACCTCCTCTACCAGAGAGAAGCTGACTCAATTTATAACCGCAGTTAATTCTTTTCACCCGGCTCTGAGCTATACCTGGGAAATTTCTGACAATTCTTTATCCTTTTTAGACATCAAAGTTTCAATTGAAGGCAACGGTTTATGCACTAGTGTGTATTACAAACCTACAGACTCGAATAATTACTTTTTGTATTCGTCTTCGCATCCACCTCACGTTAAGAATTCCATTCCCTTTTCTCAGTTTCTCAGACTTCGTCGTTTATGTAGTGATGACTCTGATTTCCACCACAAATCAGAGTCAATGTGCCAGTTTTTCGATAAACGTGGTTACCCTGATTCTGTCGTTCAAGCGGGTTACCACCGCGCCCAACTTATTGATCGACATTCAGCACTACAAACGTCACAAAAGGAAGATTCCGACCGCATTCCATTCACTCTCACGTTTCACCCTCACAACCACTCAGTTAAATCCATCATTCTTAAAAACTTTAAATTACTTCAAAACGATCCAGAGACAAGCACTATCTTTTCGCAGCCTCCGCTCATTTCATTCAAACGCGACAAAAACATAGGCAATTTTTTGGTCAGAAGTTCTTTTCAGACTAATGACCAACCAGGCACTTTTAAATGCGCTCGTGCACGATGCAAAACGTGTCCTTTCATTCACAACACTGATAAAATATCGGGACCTAAACGATCCATTAAGATCACCGATCACTTCACGTGCACCTCCGCCAATGTAATCTATTGCATAACTTGCACTTATTGCAAAAAGATATACATCGGCGAAACAGGCAGAAGACTAGGTGACCGATTCCGAGAACACCTTCGAGACGTGGAAAGGAATGACAAGGACACATCGAAACCAGTCGCTAGACATTTTAATTTACCTAATCATTCTAAGCAACATATGGCAATCTGCGGTCTTT